ATTGGAGATAGGAGTCTCACGGTCTCTCCTGCCCGGGCTGGCTTTGAACCGCGATCCTCAGATCTCAGCCTCCTGAGTAGCTAGGATTACAGGCGTGAGCCACCAGCGCCCGGCTGGTTTGCAGCTTTTTAAAAGAAAGTTAAACATAATTGCTAGAGCTGCTTTATGTTTTCATGCTAAGGAAACTTTTGTCTGTCACTTGGACTAAGCTTTCTACAAAACCTCTGTACTGTTGGTCTCACTGTCACCGCAGTCTCTTTTCTTGTCTTCCTCTGTCTCTCATTCACACTTCCACACATTTGTGTGTGTGTGTGTGTGTGTGTGTGTGTGTGTGTATTTATTACAGCCTTTGTCAGGCCTAATAGAAACAATCAAGTCTTGAAGCTCTTCCTTTGCTATTTTGCAGGGTGCCCCCAGAGAAATAACACTATATCCCCCAATTACCCAGTTCCTCCCTATCCAAACCTGCCTCAGGTGCCATGGCACTGAAGTAAGCAGACAGTTGCGGTGTGTTAGTTTACTAGGGACTTAAAGGCAGAAGTGTGAGTCACAGCAAGACCTGGTGGGTACCCACAGTTTGGGTCAAAAAACAAGGATTTATATAATGGCCATGAAAAAAAAGACTTTATTCAAGCTAGAAAGTACCTGTTTTATATCCACTACAAGAAAGACGCAAATCACAGATGTGACCCTATATTCATCATAAACACCTTAAGATAATCATAATTGCAAATAGTTTCTTTAAGCACTTAGCACAGTGCCCAATGCCCGGTGCTTTCAGTAGATCTTTAATGGGAAGATAGATAGGTGTGCCACTGGTGGTACCTTCAGAACTTGGGCTTTGCAAGTCGGAAACTGAACGTTCACTCCTAGGTCCCTGCCCTTACTCCTGTACCCTGTGTTGTTATTAATGAGATTGAAATACTTTGTCTTTTTTACATATGCGTACTTATACCAGGGGGTTTTCATTGATTCCCTCCCACATTTTATCAGTCTTACCCCATCATTCTCCCTGCCCTCTGTCCCCCTTCCCAAAACAATTTCAGCAAGTTTCATTGCTCTGTTTTCATAGTTGCAGACAATCTGTTTCAATTATGTTCAGCTTCCTTCATCCTTTTTGTTAGCCCAACCCCCTCCTGCCATGAAATGCCATTTCTAAGAAATTTATAGTAATATCTGAATTCATCTGACACTTGCTATACAATACGTCAGTGGTGGTATCTAACTTTGCTTTTCCCTTTGCAGCTGACTTTATTTTACAGGGGAGAATACTAGTCTTAGTGAGATAGTTAAGGTTCAGACCCTGTTATATTTCATACCAAAACTGCTCCTTACCACTACAAAACTTTAAATAGTACAATTTTGTCCTAAAGAGAGCCAGACTACCTGCTTGAGTCCTGGCTCTCTGACATCATTGTAGGAAAGTTAATTAACCTCTCCTTCATTTCTAAAATGTGTGTTGTCCTCAAAGTTGTTGGCTGTGTTGATGTATTCTTGACCAGTACTGGCACAGTGTTCAATTTTTGTTTTTTAATTATGATAATTCATAGCTTCTTTATAGGAAGGATTTTGATTGCCGGAAGTGTCTTAAAGATCTTGCCTTTAATGACTATGTAGTCTGTTTAGGAAGACAAGAAAAGTACAGGTGAAACCTGATAAGTATATAATTAATGGTTAAATGGAATGATAGAGACTACAATGCAAATCAAATAACTGAGAAATACAGTTTAAATTCAAGTATATAGCAGCCTTTTAGGTTTCATGCCAGGTACTTTCTAGCATTTGGTTGGGTTATTATCAACTTTTCTCCTGGCTTTGCTCCTGTGTTTGTTTCTATATACACTAGAATCTCTGGTCAGTCACTTCATTTAACAGCATCCCAAATTCCTTATTGCCATTTCTGTCTTTCCCCATTCCCACCTTGTAATGTTAGTGAAAATTGATACCATTGATTTTGGATTCCAACATCACCTGAGCTGTTAGTATACATGTATAATGATAAATATTCTAAACACCTGGGTGTTTATCTTTTCTTACCATTAGTCATCATAATGGCCTGGCACTTTACAAGTAAAATAGAAGCTTCCAGCCTTCAACTAACTCTCCTTTAAGATCTTTTACAGGTATCAGATTTTTTTTTTGGTTAGTCCTGTAGCTTGAACTCAGGGCTTGGGTTCTGTCTCTGAGCCTGGGTTCTGTCTCTGAGTGGTAGTGCTCTACCACTTGAGCCATTTCTAGCCTTTTCTGAGTAGTTCATTGGAGATAAGAGTCTCATGGGCTTTCCTGCGTGGGCTGGCTTTGAACCACAATCCTCAGATATTGAGATCCTGAGTAGCTAGGATTATAGGTGTAAGCCACTGATGCCCAGCTTTATATTTATTTGTTTGTTTTTGCTTTAAACATCTCATCAATTGTTCCTCTTAGTGGCTAAGTCCTTTTTATTAATTTTTAAAAAATTGGTCATGGTGCTTGAACTCAGGGCCTGGGTGCTATCCTAGGGCTCTTTTTACTCAAAGCTAGCTAGTGCTCTACCACTTTGAGCCACAGTGCTACTTCCTGTTTTTTGACAGCTAATTGGAGATGAGTCTCATAGACTTTCTTGCCTAGGCTGCCTTTGAACCGCTACCCTCAGATCTTTGCCTCCTGAGTTGCTAGGATTACAGGTGTGATCCACCACCACCTGGCATGGCTGTGCCCTTTTATAGCACAGTTGGACTCCAGTCACAGTCCTTCCTGCCTGCCTACATTTCTCTTTCTTCCCTCCCTCTTTCCCTCTTTCCCTCCAAGAGTTCAATTCAATTGGGCACTATTGCTCCCTCCATCCTCCTCGCTCCTAGCCCCTACCAGCCCATCCTGTCCCCCAAGTGGTTAGCCCAGGTCCAGTGTTGTCTAGCACTGGCATCTAAACCACATCCCCAGCTCCATTACTAGTCTTTTTCAGCTTCCATTTATAATTTTTCCCTGTTACTGCTTATTGGGTGTGTAATTTTGTTTTTTCCCTTAGCTTTGTCAGTTATCCCCCAGTGAAGCCCACCTTCACAGCCCAGACCCCTCCTTCACACTATAGGTGGTATTTCCTGGGATTTGTTGAAAATTCTCAACTCACAGGTACCAAGGGCTGGCATTTCCCACAGAAGGAATTAATACACGCTTCTTTCTCCCAAAACAGAAGATACAAAGCTCGTCTACTTTTTTCTGTCTTCTATTATCTTCTATCTCCTATTATCTTTTAGTTGACAACGTCTTTACAACTTTGCCTTGCCTTGTAGTCTTTTCTCTGTACTAAATAAAAAAGAAATATGTGTTGTTTTGAGTTCATTTAGTAAAGAGAAAGTAAAGGCTACTCAGTAGAACAAGTGGCGGCACCCCTGGTAACTGATTGTCCCATATTTAAGTGTTTTAGATCCTGTCAGGATTCTCCTTGCTTTCAGTTCAGACTGTGCAGGCAGCATGTTCCTCTACAATGAATAAGAAAGCTGAAGGATGATGTGTGCCCCAGTTTGTAAAGGGGGTAGATTTTCTTCATGTCTTAAGTTTTTTCCCCCCCCAGATCTTGTAATATTTTTTTACTTGTGACCACTTTGTAATCATCTAATAAAGAGGGATGTTTGAATTATCTTCAACATGTATACTTAGTATTTAAGTTTACAGATGTCCAATTTTGAAGGCTGTTCAGAAGTTGACTTCCCTTCTTGCCAGCCTCATTCACTCACATTACTATCTTACATTACAGGTTCAATTCCTGACTGCCATGTACTCATTGCAGGACCTTTGACAACACAGTCAAAGTGATGTCAATAGTGACTTTGAAGTGCTTAATTCATGACTTGGCACTCAGTAAACACAAGAAATACTATTTCATTTGATTTTCTTGTGAGGCTACCTACTCAGCTGGAGTTATTTGTATATTGACTCTGTAAAATATAAAGAATGGCATTTAAATTTAGTAAAAAAGTATTTTTGATGATGATCTTTGAAGCACCTTTAATTAGGTGAGGGGAAAAGTCTCAACAGTTGGAATTTGGCTCACCCAGAATTGTTGGTTTGGTGTTACAGACCTTGCTTTGCCATATTGCTTAGCAAGGTAGCTAGGGAAAAAAATACACATACATTGAGCCTGTTTCTTTATACACATATTTCTTCATATGTAGTTTGTTCATGAAAGACTTAATATTGTGTTTTATCAAAAAATTAGTTTTTTTCCACTAATTTTAAATAGGCTCCATTAAGTTTCATGTGCTTAGCAACATCTTTTGGAGAATTATATTTATGTATAAGTGATAGGCATTTCTTAGTCCTCATCTAGCTCTGCTGTTTTAAGATAGTATAATAAATTTGAATGCTTTGTTACAGCTTTTGTATTAAGTGGAAAACTGATTCTAATAGGAGTGGAAGAAAAGGAGAGCAGGAACAAAATTAAATTATAAATAATATAAAGCAACACTGGTAGTGTAAGGTTGGTTTTTGTTTATTCTAGAGGTTGTAATTGTGGTTTGATTCAAAAGATAAATTTCAAAGAATGAAGTTGGGGTTTTTTTTGTTGTTGTTGTTTGCTTTTGTTTTTTGCCAGTCCTGGGGCTTAAAGTCAGGCCCTGGGCACTGTCCCTAAGCTTCTTTGGCTCAAGGCTAGCACTGTACTATTTGAGCCACAGCACCACTTTTAGCTTTTTCTTTTTATGTGGTATGAAGGAATTGAACCCACAGCTTCATGCATGTGAGGCAAGCACTCTCCCACTAAGCCACATTCCCAGCCCTGAAGAAATGTCCCCCCGCCCCGCCCAAGAACAGAGCTTATCGAGTTGGAAGATGAACAGTATTCCTTGTCCCATTGTTTAGTATTCTTCACATTTAACTCATGAGTGTGTTTTTGCTTTGGTTTTTCCTTAGATTTGGTTGTTTAAAATATTCATCACCACTACATTCATTGCAGAGCATAAGGAGGATAAAAGGTGGCATTTGGAATTTCATCCATACATGATGGTATTTATGTTTCATTTTAGGGAAGCAATGAGAAATTATTTAAAAGAAAGAGGAGATCAAACAGTACTGATTCTTCATGCAAAAGTTGCACAGAAGTCATATGGAAATGAAAAAAGGTAAAAATACTTCTTGTGGTGGATAGTTGTATCTATCACATTAGTTGAAAATTACGTATTTGTATTTATGTCTGAGGTTGGTTTCTGTTACTGGAGTAATGGAAAGAGAAGGTGGAATTCTGACCTTTAAAACTGAAGAGTGGGGCACCAGTGGCTCATACCTGTAATCCTAGCTACTCAACAGGCTGAGATCTGAGGATCGAGGTTCAAATCAAGCCGGGCAGAAAAGTCCATGAGATTCTTATCTCCAATTAACCACAAGAAAACGAAGTGGTGTGGTGATTCTAGGGTAGAGCACTAGCCTTGAGCTGAAGAGCTCAGGAACAGTGCAAAGGCCCAGAGTTCAAGCCCCAGGACCAACACAAAAAGAAAAGAACAACAACAACAACAAAAAACCCTTGAAGGACTGGGCCCCTGTGTAGCCCAGGTGGCCTCACATCTCTCAAGCCTCATGCTTTGGGCTCCTGGGTGCTAGGATTATGCTTGATGGGATTTGTGTCTTAAATGGAATAAACAAAGAAACTTGAGACATACTCAAACCAGGACAATTTAGTAGAGATCATATGGCTAAGTAAGTTCTTGATTTCACAAAATTAAAACCACTCTGTGTGTTGGTGGGTGGTGAGGGAGGGGGTGGAAGAGAGTCATGTCCCCCAAATATTTTAATGAAACATTAGCTCATTTACAAAGGTACTGTTTTTTGTGGGTTTCTATTGTTTGGTGTTTCGTTTGTGGTGATGGTAGGGGTCTAACCCAGAATTTCAGGTTTGCTTTAGCAAGTGTTCTTTCACTGTAATACATCACAGACCTCAGATCATCATTTATAGCCAGCCCATTTGTTGTTGGAGGGGAGGCCTCAATAGGCATTTAATGCACCTCCCCCTGCTTCAGCCCACTAACCAATATACAGCACTCTTGTTTTTCCACTTGGTTTCTGGAACTTTCTTGTTAATAGTTTCTTGAGTCATTGTCTTTCAAATAGCATTGTTTGGGGTAAGCTTTACTAGATAAAAATGACCTGAGTTGAGGCTGAGGCAAAGGAAAAGAACCTAACCTTCCTGAGAAAAGGAATGAAAATTCAGGTTTAGGTTGAATTGAAAGGAATGAATGGAATCCTAGAAATTACAGCATAAAGAAAGCTTTTAGTATTTACATAAGAGAAGGGAAATATATAATTATATAATTAATTTTCATATTAGAAGAAAATTGAATAGAACTTTTCTTGATGTAGTCTAAATCTGAGCTGAAAAAAGGGGTAAAGCTGAAAAGTATTTATTAATATTTTTCAGGGGTGGGGGTGGCTGTCAGTTGTAAGGCTTGAACTTGGGTGCTGTCATTGAGCTTTTTTGCTCAAGGCTAGCACTCTACCATTTTAAGCCTTAGCACCACTTCCCATTTTCTGGTAGTGAATTGGAAAGGTAAGAGTCTCAGGCTTTCTTGCACAGGCTGGCTTTGGACAGTGATCCTCAGATCTACCAAAAATGGAAAAGGAAAAGAAAGGAAAGCTTCCCCAAGCTAAAAAAGTAGAAAGTCCTTTTTTCTGAAGGAAATGTAGCATCAACTTTTTCCACTGATTAGTATGCAGCAATAGTGATACTGTAGAGACAGTCCCACAGCATTGAGACACTGAGACTGTGGTTCTCAAGTCATACTAAGAATTGTATTCATTGGAGTAACTGATATTCCAAAGTTCCAAAATATGGTCCTTTTGAACAGAGTAAGCATCAGAGGGTAGTGATTTTTGAGAAGGTACACAAATGATATGACATGAGTTTGTCTAACCACACTTCTTGTATATATTGGGATGGACAAAAAGCCTTCAGCTAACATGTTTCCAAGATCTATTACTAGGATTCATGGGAATAGTTGTTGAAGCATATAAAATGAATATAAAAATCTTATGTGTGGGCATATCACCACCAAGTGGCAGAGAGTAACATTGCCATGGACAAAATGAAAAAGGCAACATTGTTATTTAGGTCTGGATTACGTAAGGACTGGGCTTTGTACTTGGCGATGCAAGTGCTGTTCCACTTTAGCCACTCTTATAACCCTGAGTTTTGCTGGTTATTTTTGAAATAGGGCCTTCCTGCCTTCCTGCCTGTCTGCCTTCCTGCCTGCCTGCCTGCCTGCCTGCCTGCCTGCCTGCCTGCTTTCCTTCCTTCCTTCCTTCCTTCCTTCCTTCCTTCCTTGCTTCCTTCCTTCCTTCCTTCCTTCCTTCCTTCCTTGCTTCCTTCCTTCCTTCCTTCCTTGCTTCCTTCCTTCCTTCCTTCCTTCCTTCCTCCCTCCCTCCCTCCCTCCCTCCTTCCCTCCTTCCCTCCTTGTCCTTTTTCTTGTCCTGAGGCTTAAACTCAGGGCCTAGATGCACTACCTGAGCCTCTTTGTGCTCAAAGCTAGAGCTATATTCCTTGAGCTACAGCGCCACTTCCACCTTTTTCTGAGTAGTTTTTTGGAGATAAGAGTCTCATGGACTGTTCATGCTGCCTTCAAACTGGGATCCTCAGATCTTAGCCTCCTGAGTAGCTAGGATTACAGGCATGAGCTACCAGTTCCTGGTGAGTCTTGCTTTCTATGTGCTAAGAACCGGTGATATGCTCACTTTAGGCTTCTGTTCTGTCATTTCTGAGATCACAAATACACCCCACCATGACTGGTAACCTCTGTGGAGATGGAGTTTTCCAGATTTTTCTGCCTGGGCTAGCTTTAAACTACATTTCTCCCAATCTCAGTCTCCAAGTAGTCAGGATTACAGGCTTGAGCCACCAATACCCAGGTTAATAGGTTTTTTTGTTAGTTTATTTTGTTTTTAAATGCAGCTTTTAAACTCTGTGAACTTTTCACTAAGAGTTTAGGACATACTGACCAAAGTAAGAACATTTCATACACAATTGTAGATACAAGTCTGCTAATTTTTGTTAGGTTAATTGTGTGTTCTTTATATCCTCAGTCCCTTTAATTTTCTTTATGTATATTCCCTTTTTTATACATATGTTTATCTTTTATTTGATTGATGTAGCAAAAGAAACCTGTGAAAGTGAAAATTTGCACTCGTGCTAATTTTTAATGACAACAATTGAAATATTTAGAAAATGATTTCATCTGCACCCTACATAGTCTTCTATGTTCAGATCTGTTAGATCTACCAGGGTTTTGCTTTTGGGGGGTGGGTATCATGGCTTTTGTGAATAATTGTAGGGTTGATATACAAACACAGGGCTAGCCTATTTTCCACATTTATTAATGCTTGACAATCCCTGGATGACTGAGAAAAAGAATGTTTTATCTACTTGGCTAATTTTATACTGTTTCATAAGCATTTTGTCACAATGCATCTGAGAAACCACCAGTACTCATTCTTTTATCATTTCAGGCCATGTTATTTTTCAGATATGAAATGAAAGTATATTTTGAGATAACTGAGATTTGGCTACCACATTTGGTATACTATCTAAAGCATAGCTCCTTGAATATTGTAGCTAATGTTTTAGTTTGCTAAGAAGTCTTACTATCAGTGCAAGTAAAATGCTAACTGGAGATGAGTTTCTAAAAGTGATGCCTTTACTATCTCCTGAGAATATGACACTCGAGGTACTTGAGTCTGTGCCAGAGTAAGCATTGGGTAGTTCCCAGCATTAAAAGCCAGAAAGACTTGAATTGAAACAATTCCAAAATGAGTCTTGCTAATCTGGGCATTCTTCCAAACTTGGAGTAACCTGGAGGTAGGCCTACTACCGTGACTATGACCTTTATATCCATGCCCTCAGTGCAAGCCTACAGACAATAGAGCTGCACTTCTCTTTTAGTTTAAATAAATACAAGGAGTCTACAGAGGCTTCCCTCCTTACTCACCTGGTCTGTAGGGCCCACTGGGTCTGGCTTCATCTGTTGACCCAGAATTCTGGTTTGTTTATGTCCCCACTATTGGTCGTAGTTCTAACCACAGAGCCTTTGCACTTGATCTTCCTCTACTCACATGCTTTACCCACATGGCTTTATTCTTTTTTTTTTTTTTTTGGTCCGGTCATGGGGCCTGAACTCTGGGCCTGGGCACTGTCCCTCAGCTCTTCAGCTCAAGGCTAGTGCTCTACCACTTGAGCCACAGCGCCACTTCTGGCTTTTTTTTTTCTTTTTGCTTATGTGGTGCTGAGGAATCGAACCTAGGACCTTGAGCATGCAAGGCAAGCGCTCTACCACTGAGCCACCTTCCCAGCTACCCACATGGCTTTAAATGGTAGCTTAAGGATGATTTCCCTGGCTACCCCATGTGGTTCACCTTTCAAGTATTCTATTCCTGCTTTATTATTTCCCTCAGGGAACACTAGCTAACAAAGTGTATATACTATTTGAATTATTTTTAAATTGTGCCTCTTATTGGAGTATAAATTCCTTAAGGAATTTTGTCTGTATTACTGTAATCCTGATATATGTATATATACATACATATATATGTATATTCTAGAGATACCTAGAAGAACTAATAACTACTAAATAAACCCTGCTCGCTTCTCAAAAAATTACTTCTGGCTCCAGTTGAGGAAAGACAGTGCCATTATATTTTGAATCAGTCAGTAGCTGCTGCAGTAGATACTCAGGGGATAGCAACAAGAAGCCCATTCTGCTTACCTTCAGAAAGGCCTGAGAGTCACCAGCATCTTGGTTTGGATTTCATATCAAATCAGATCAAATTTGCTTCTATGGGTGGGTATGCTTTCACATGTCTGACCACCCCTGCTGTTTTCTTAATTATAACACACACCAGTGGCTGGTTGTCATTTCATTTAAACTATTTAGTCATTTATTTTTTGGTCGTGGGGCTTGAACTCAAGGCATGGGTGTTGACCCTGAGCTTTTTCCATTTAAGGCTAGTGCTCTACTATTTGGAGCTACAGTGCCATTTCTGGTTTTTTAGTGGTTAATTAGAGATATGAGTCTCAGACGTCCCTGCCTTGGCTAGCTTCGAACTGCAATCCTCAGATCTCAGCCTTCTGAGTAGATAGGATTACTGCCATGAGCCACTGGTGCCCAGCTTAAGTTATTATTTTTTTTTAACAGTAGGATCAAGAGAATTAAGAAATATTTTTTCAGCCGGGTGCTGGTGGCTCACGCCTGTAATCCTAGCTACTCAGGAGGCTGAGATCTGAGGATCGCGGTTCAAAGCCAGCCCGGGCAGGAGAGACCGTGAGACTCCTATCTCCAATAAACCACCAGAAAACCGGAAGTGGCGCTGTAACTCAAGTGGTAGAGTGCTCGCCTTGAGCTGAAGAACTGAGGGACAGCGCCCAGGCCCAGAGTTCAAGCCCCACGACCGACAAAAAAAAAAAAAAAAAGAAAGAAAGAAATATTTTTTCAAATTCCTAACTATAAATAATAGTACAGTTGGGCGCCAGTGCCTCACACCTGTAATCCTAACTACTGAGGAGGCTGAGATCTGAGAATCTTGGTTCAAAGCCAGCCCGGGCAGGAAAAGCTATGAAACTCTTATCTCCAATAAACTACCAGAAAACCAGAAGTGGTGCTATGGCTCAAGTGGTAGAGCACTAGCCTTGAGCTGAAGAGCTGAGGTACAGCGCTCAGGTCAAGTTCAAGCCCCATGATCCTCCCTACCACCCCCTCCCCCCCAAGATCAAAAAAATTAATATGAATTACTATGAGGGCTTTTCTTTTAAGAAAGAGAAGGAACCCAGTTCTGTGGGTAATTAAAGGATATTCATACTGGTTTATTATATTGCCTAGCTTCTGTAGGAATTTTGAAGTACACCATCAATGTGCCATAAGTCATTTAGTGTATGTACATGTTAGCAGGTATGACTGGACGTAAGTGAATTATATCCTACATATCAACTAATTTAAGATATGTAAAATATGGGGCTTGAACTTGGCTTTGGAATCTTTAAAAAATTGTTAGATAAGGAAGTCACTTTAGGTGGGTAGAATTTATGAGGGTGTTTGTTAGCAACTAGCAAAGCAAGTATGTGCTCAAAGAATAGTGTCTTGATTCCTTTAACATAAAAGATCTCTAGGCATTTATGGTGCACCAAGGATTTAGAGGGTTAGAGACACAAAGCAGTATGCTCTCATAGAACTCCCACCACAATAATCCATTTTCCTGTTACTTTATACATAGTTTAATTAATATTTTGAAATATTGATTGCTTTAATGCTACTTTCCAGGTTAAATACCAAGTAAGATTAAGTATAATATGTGTAACAAGAGTAGCATTATATGTTGAGTAGATACTAAGTATCAATCACGAGTCTAGTGGTCTATTATTTTAATTTTAATTTCAATTTTTATTATTATTATGAAGGTGAGATGCAAAGGAGTTAGTTACATAAGTTGAGTAAAGAATGTGCGTGTGCGTGTGCGTGTGCGTGCGTGTGCGTGCATGCGTGCGTGTTTGCTGGTTGTGGTGCTTGAACTCAAGGCTAATGCTCTACCACTTTGAATTACAGCACCACTTCTGGTTTTTGAATGGGTAATTGGAGATGAGAGTCTCACAGGGACTTGGACTTTTCTGCCTGAGCTGGCTTCAAACCAGTCCTCAAATATCAGCCTCATGAGTAGATAGGATTATGTGAACCTCCAGCATCTGGCCATAAGGAATATATAAAATGAACTTTACAACTTTGGCGGGGGGGGGGGGGGGGGGGGGGGGGGGATCGGGTAGAGTGGGGGAGTATGGGAAGGGGAAACAAAGGAGGAGGCAACAATGCTTGATAAGAACTGTATTCATTATTTTGCCCATGTAATTGTAACCCCTCTGTACAGTATTTTCACAATTAAAAAAAAAAAGAAATTCTACCTCAAAACTTTTTACCCAAACAAATTCAAAAGTTTTGATTCTTGGGGCTGGGAATGTGGCTTAAGTGGTAAAATGCTTGCCTGGCATGCATGAAATCATGGGTTCGATTCCTCAGTACCAAATAAGTAGAAAAATCTGAAGGTGGCTCAAGTGGTAGAGTTCTAGCATTGAACAAAAGGGGTTCAGGGACACCGCCTAGGCCCTGAGTTCAAGCCCTAGGACTCCCCCCCCCCCCCAAAAAAAAAAAAAGTTTGATTCTTGTCCTATAGATGGATTCGATTGCGTTGTAATATTTTTCGTAGGAATTCAGGGCCTTTCGATATGGTTGTATAGTAGTGATAATGTTCAAGAAAATGAAATGTCTTGAATCTAATTGCTTTGTGTTTCTCAACCATTATTCAGGTTTTTTTTGCCCTCCTCCTTGTGTATATCTTATGGGTAGTGGATGGAAGAAAAAAAAAGAACAAATGGAACGTGATGGTTGTTCTGAACAAGAGTCTCAACCATGTGCATTTATTGGGATAGGTAATAGTGACCAAGAAATGCAGCAACTGAACTTGGAAGGAAAGGTAAATGAAGGCTGCTGTTCCCTGTGAGAAGGACTTGTGTGGTATCAGAATGCAGTCGACCTTCATTTTTGTTGTTGTTGTTTGTTGGTTTAAAACCATGGCCATGAGTCACAATATCTGTCTGTCTAATCTGTCTATATTATTTTTAAGTAGTTGTATTTACAGAGGGGCATTTATCACAATTTCTTGAATATATAATCTAAAATCAGAAACCAACCTTTCAAATAGTTGGGATCTAGTTATGAACCTATGCTCTTGACATCTAGAGGTGGCACATAGGAAACCTGCACAGCTTGCTAGGTGTTTTAACAGCGTGGAAACCAGAGATTTGTATTGGAAGCCACTGGTAAAGGTAGATAGCTAATCACGTCTGTGTGACAGAAACATGATACCCAATGAGAATACACCTGTTGATAGTGATTTACTCAGCCTTCTTAATCTGTTTTCTGCTAGAAGCAGAGGCATAGGCAAATTCTTAGAAGTGTTTATCTAGGTTGTAAAGATTGTTGCTTAACCATAGTACAGAACTATAACTTCTTGTTCTTCTTTTTCCTCGTTTTCTTCTTCCTTCTCTTCTTCTTCCTCTTACTATATGCTGGTCCTGGGACTTGAACTTGGGGCCTGGGCCACAGCCAGCACTCTGCTACTTGAGCCACAGCTTCACTTACGGCTTTGGGGGGGAAGGGGGGTTAACTAGAGATAAGACTCTCAGACATTCCTACCTTGACTGTCTTTGAATCTTGATCCTCAGATCTCAGTCTGAGGAGTAGAGATTGCAGGTGAGAGCCACCACTGCCAAACTAACTTACCTTTTATTGCTGCTAGTTTTTTCAAAAAATTTGTGTGTGTGTGTGTGTGTGTGTGTGTGTGTTCATTCATTCATCCATCCTGAGGTTTGTTGCTCAAAATTAGCACTCCACTTCCAGCTTTTTTTGGCTGTTAATTGAGATAAAAGTCTCCACTAGCTTTCCTGTGTGAGCCGCCTTCAAACCATAGTCCTCAGATCTCAGCCTCCTATCTGGCTAAAACTTAATATTTTCTGAGTCCTTTGGGATGTGAGTTTTGTGGTCAGTGTTCTTACACATTTTTAAAATGATAATTCTAGTTATTATGTATTCAAAGTACTTTTATTAGAAATATTTTCTTATAAGGAGATTTGTATGTGATGCTATTTCTAAATAAATAGCCATCTATGTTGGTCTTATGGTTGAATCAGAGGACTAGGGAGGATTTTAAAGCCATTGAGGTAGTACCATTTTGAAGTATCTTTGCTATTTGGTGTTATAACTTGAATACTATAATTTCAGTTACCAAAACTGACATAATGATGTGGACATTTCTTTCTTATACTTTTAATTTCAGTTTTTTGTTTGTTTGTTTGTTTTTGTCAGTTGTGGGGCCTGAACTCTGGGCCTGGGAACTGTCCCTTAAGCTCTTCAGCTCAAGGCTAGCACTTAACCACTTGAGCTACAGCGCCACTTCTGGCTTTTTCTGCTTATGTGGTGCTGAGGAATTGAACCCAGGGCCTCATGCATGCTAGGCAAGCACTCTACCACAGAGCCACTTTCCCAGACTTAATTCCAGTTCTTTTGGGTAATCCTTTTAGATGAATTTAACCATGTTTAAAGTATTGTTTTATAGCCTCTATTTTAGGGTATCCTATACTCAGGTCTAGTTAGTCTGGTTTCATTTTGAAGCCAGTGTTATTACAACTTTGTTTTTCTTTCACAGAACTATTGCACAGCCAAAACATTGTACATATCTGATTCAGACAAAAGAAAACACTTCATGTTGTCTGTAAAGATGTTCTATGGCAACAGTGATGACATTGGCGTGTTCCTCAGCAAGAGGATAAAAGTCATCTCCAAACCTTCCAAAAAGAAGCAGTCACTGAAAAATGCTGACTGTATGTATGCTCGAGCTCTCTCACTTACCCTCAGCTCTCATCATTTTTACAAGTTAAAATGCTGCCTTTTCAGTAACAATTCATTTGTAACTGGTTTCATGTCCCTTATGCTCATTTTAATTTTTCATATTGAAAAATGTATTGTGCATGGTCTAATGAAGTGATCAGTTCTCAGGTTTTCATTCACTTAATTAAGATTACGTTTAGAGTTGAATTTGTACTGTTCCTGGGGCATTTGGGAAAATAGTGGGACTTTTTTCCTTCAGGAAAGTGACTAGGTGGGAAATGATCTTAGCATTCCGTGTGTTGGGCTAGTAATGCTGAACGATCTGCCATTTCTCATTCCACGAAGAACTGATCTACCTAGAAGGTCACAAGTACCCCTGGAAAGAAACTTCAAACAGGCTTCGGATAGCTAGCCTAAGAGAAAAAAAAACAATTTTTAAATATGGTTGCCCAGAATAGACTAATCTTATCAGCAGAGTTTTTTGAATATTAAAGATATATACACTGTTTGAAATACACATTTCAACACCTACACATTTATTGTTCTTTAAAATTTATATATAAAAGGCAAAAAGTACCAATGTCTTGTATTCAGTCTATTTCCAATTCAGAATGCAGAGATGTTTTGTTTTGCCTGTAACTGGTTCAACTCAAGGCCTTTATATTCCCTAACACTTGAGACTCCTCAAGAAAACCCTCCTGAGGGTTTTCTTTTTTGTAATTTGTGATTTTTTTTGTGTGTATGTGTGTTTTTTGTTTTTTAAAACACTTCTGCTTGTGTCTTGATGGTAGAGCATCACTTTTAGGGTATTTTCCTATTTACATAAATGTGTTTTGCACATCTAAAGTAAGTCTTAAAATAATTATATATATGTGTATACATATACATACACACATACACACACACATAGAGAGACAGAGAGAGACAGAGAGATGAAAATAAAGAATTGTCTCAGCAAGGCAAAATTTACTTCTGTGCAGAACAGTGTACCATCAGCCAAAAATCTGGTAAGCAAGCACACAGAACAGGCAGTCTGCTCTGCTATTTATTCCTAATGCAGCAGGCCCAGCCCCTCTGGCTCAGATTGGTTGAGCTTGGGTTTTCCCATCTGTTCACAATTGGCTAGTTGAATGGGGTAAAATATATTTCCATACGTGATTTTGAAATAAGATTAACAGTTCATGAGTAATCCCAAACTATATTTCTCGAACACTGTGGGGCATGTTGTAATTAATTCCATCTTGAAAAGAAACCAGTTTAAGACAAAAACCTTACATTTTACAAATCCTTTCTTATCCCAAGGCAGTACCTCATAACAAGAGCCAAGCCACCAGGCTAAAGAAGGAACTCTTAAGCAATACACTTAGAAAAGATAGTTTTTCTCACATTTAACAAATTTTATTTTATATTGTAAATAGACTATAAGCTGTTTTCCATGCAGTATAACATTTCAGAGTATTTAAAAGATAGCAGAATCTCCAAAATCATAATATACAGTCACAATCAACCTTAGTAAAAATTCTTCTACAATTTTTCCTCTACGTATGTTCTATAGGATTGAATGCAAGCATGTGGAGACATTGTGCACACATGCCTAGTGGAACCACACTATGCAGAGTGATTTATAGTCTGCCTTTTCACTCAAATATTTTCTTATCAGTGCATCTAGGTATACATAATTTCAGTGGGTGAATAGTCTTATAAATTATTTGATCAAATTCATACTATTAAACATTTATTGTAAAGATAATTTTCCTTCTAATGATCAGCATTATATTAGGCAGTTTGTAGCTTAAAGGGACTTTTTTCTTTCTTTTTTTTCCTTTCTTTTTTTTTTTTAATTTGGATGCTGGTCCAGGGACTTAAACTTAGGGCTTACACATGTATTTGAGCTTTTTGCTCAAGGCTAGTAACACTCTATCACTTGAGTTACAACTCCACTCCTGGCTTTATTGGTGGTTATTTGAAAATAAGAGTCTCATGAACTTTTGTGACTGGGCTGGCTTCAAACTGTATTCCTCAGATCTTAGCATCCTGAGCGATTATAGGATTATAGGTATGAGCCATTTGTGTCAAGCTTTTCAAATGACAGTTAAGACACTATTTTAGTAGTTTTATTCCTAAGAAATACCTTGACTTTTTTTTTTTTTTCATTTTGCTATTATATGTGTTCTTTCATGAAAGGTTGTAGCATTTGTCTCAGAATCTATTCCTTGTTACATTTAAATAAAAAAAATTTAACCCACCAAAGCAGAAGTCCTTTCTTGTTTGGCCCCTGCCACAATCCCCTAAATAGGAGCCATTTTTTTCTTTGCAGTATGCATTGCCTCAGGAACAAAGGTGGCTTTGTTTAATCGACTTCGATCCCAGACAGTTAGTACCAGATACTTGCATGTAGAAGGAGGCAATTTCCATGCCAGTTCACAGCAGTGGGGAGCATTTTATATTCATCTCTGTGAGTACACAAATGTTTTTATTATAATTGTTATTTGAGTTTTATTTTCCCAAGAAGACAATAAATTATAGAAGATGCTAATTTGATCTCTTTTCTACCTACTGCAGTGGATGATGACGAATCGGAAGGAGAAGAATTCACAGTCCGAGATGGTTACATCCACTATGGACAAACAGTCAAGCTTGTGTGCTCAGTTACAGGCATGGCACTCCCAAGATTGGTAAGTCTCTACTCCTTTGGTTAGTGTAGGTAAAAATTGGTTCCTAAAATAGGAAATACTAAAAAATGCACCTTGATGTTTATATCATTTTTGAAAAGTGATGCCAATTATCCCTGTAACTGATTGTTCTCCCTTATCTCTGAAGTTCTTTAGGAAATTAGCTGTTTTTATAAAACCTGTTGCTAGTGACTACATTATTTCTAATTAATTTTTCCTTTTAGGTTGCATATCTGAACATATCCAGTAGATGGCACTGTAAATTTTTCCTCCTTTTACTAATGCAGATACACTGCTTTTTATCTTATCTGCAGTATCCAAATAAAAGACCAGTTTTTTTGTTTGTTTTCTTTTCTTTTCTTTTTTCTTTTTTCTTTTTTTTTTTTTTGTTGGTCCTTGGGGTTGAACTCTGGGGCCTGGGCCCTGTCCCTCAGCTCTTCAGCTCAAGACCAGCACCCTACTACTTGAGCCACAGCACCACTTCTGGGTTTTTTTCTGTTTATATGGTGCTGAGGAATCAAACCCAGAGCCTCATGCATGCAAAGCAAGCACTCTATCACTGAGCCAACTTCTTATTGCAAGGACCAGGTCTCTAAAAGCATAAAAATCTTATCTACATAAGCATAGTTTTTATTATATTACACTAACAGATTTATTAATGATTAAATAAAGTGGGTATTTTGGATTTGGGGGCTTTTTGTTCTCTAGACTTTAAAACTGTAAACATAGAAAATTTCTCAGTAAAATGAAAACGAAAGTCCTTAGAATTCTACCCCTGTCCCATTTTTCCTTTGTTTGTTTTGAAATAGTATGGTTTAGCTGCATTAAAACAACCAGGATTTATGGGTAAGTTTGCTTTAAGGGCAGGTGGAAGAATATTTAGTATGCTATTTGTCAACATGTTTTTAATGTATCTCTGGTGAACTATTTCAGTGATTTATATTTTTTGAGGCTATTTCAGGAGAAGCTGAGTATATAGTCATCTTATTTGTGTATGTATATATGTATATATACCTAAATATGGTTATATAGGGTGATTTATTTCCCATTTTAGTTTAGTAAGCTAAAATGTGTAAAGTGTAGTATTAATCTGTAAAGCCTTGAATCTGGAACAGATTCCAATATGAAGTATAAAGGTAGGGAAAGGTATCTGTTGACATGGAGAGAAAGGAGCAAAATGCATTCACTGCTTCCCACTTGCTGGGTGAATGGTCTCCTGTTCACCAATGCTGGTTCACTTTGTTCATACTACAAAAGCACCTGGCATAGGCTTACTAAGTGTTTTCACTTAGTTTCACATCAAGTACAGTCATCTGCTTGACAGTCACTTTTATTTATTTTTCTTTTTATACTGAAAACTCTGTAGCTCTCAAAGAAATATTACAATTAAGAAGTTTATATAGAAAATATATTGGAAAAACTTACAATACCTTCTTTAACATGTTAAATATGTCTTTCTAGAAATTCCATGACTGAATTGTGACTAGTTTCCCCCAGATCATTGGTAGATTTTAGATGTCTCCACTCTTCAGCTCCTTGAACTACAGCTATACACAGCAATAACAGCAACATTCTGTAGCTTTCATAATCATTTTTAAAGAGATTATCATTATCACAGAAATGAAGGGAAGAAGGGTGAGCATGTGTCACTATACTCAATGTATGTAAAAAATGTATGTAACTTCAGGGTAGGGATGAGAGGAGGGGAAAAATAGAGGGAGAACGAAGAAGGGGTGATATTGATCAAGAAGTATAACTATAACCTGACTTATGAAATTGTAATCCCTTTGTACAACTATTTAATAATTGAAAAGATGATCATTTATTGAAAGTTGCTTTTCATGCCTCTGAGAATATTAACCTTGTTGGAAAGCTTTGCTGAGAGAACACCGTCCCTCTGAGAATGAGTTTCAATGGGATAATTGTCACAGTACAAATTGCGTTTTGAAGGATGTTCTCAAAAAAGGTCTTGTGTGTACAGGACTGGCCAACTAACATGAATCCTGTTACCTACTTGCTAGGGGTGAAAGTATCTGAGATTTACGTCTTGCGTGTTACAGTTCTGTTCTTCAGGTGTCACCCATGCAGCAAAAGTGCACTAATTTCTACTGTCTACTCTGGCATATAGATAAGTTATTTCCTGTCTTTAATATATAGCGTATTACCTGTCTACAAAAACAAGCCAGTTGGAATAACACCTGATGGTTTCTGAAAGTACAGCTTACATACCTAAGTTGTAAGGATTTTGGTAATTACCTACGTACTCAAATTTCTTATCTTAATAATTAGAAATCATAATGGGCTCTATGGACAGCAGTGTCTGTGCCTCAAGAACTGTAGTGCAGTTCCAGGCCGCACGTGGCCTGTGTTTGCCCTGTGCTGTAGCAGCTGGCGGAGCACCATGAGGGAAGCTGAGTACCAGTGCTGGGGAGAACCATAACTCTCGGGTGGAGGTGGGTCAGCCAATGCGCCTGAGCTCTTTGGGCAGCTTTAGACCTACACCAGTTACTTCTCTAAAAGCCAGACTTCATTGGGTTGTTAAATCCCATGAAGCTTTAAGCGTTGAACTGAAGCATTTTGCTTGTGTTTAGTCTCACAGACTATAGTAGAATCTACAATTGCTAAAAGTGTAACCTCTCCTTTTAATTTATGTTAAGATTGGTAAGATTCTAAATATTCCAACTAAAAACCCACAACACAAAATAATGTAAATATGAAGACTACTACCTAAAGTTTGAGGCTTAGCTGAAACAAAATGATCTTGGAACAGAAAGGAAATGTGAATCAAGTAGTAAAACCAGTAACATTGTGCAATATTAACGATATTTAATGCTAATTGCAACAGTTAGCCTTTTTAGATGGCAGTCTCCTCCACCCCCCCAACTCTGAGCAGTTTGCCTAACTATTCTGAACTCATTTCATGGTCTGCAAACCTTATTCTAATTCCATTCTCTTTAATATGTAAATAATTATATACTGTATTTTAAATGACTGCTGTGACTGACGTACCCACAATAGCCTTATAGGGTGTTTCCCTTGATGTTGGAATATTTGTGTTATTTCAAAGAACATAAGTAGTTACAACTTAATATATGGAACACAAATATCACCTGGGAATTTGTGTGAAACACAAGCTTATCAGGCCCCAAATGAGCCCTAAGCAGTAGATGAGAACTTGAGAACTCCCAATGAATTATGTGTGCATAATTCATTATGTGTGAACACCACTGGTTTAGAAAACAAGTGCTTCTGGCCCTTCCCGTACTCCTCAGGTGTTGTAGAAATGGGTAATGATCCCTGTATTTTGATGCTTTTCATAATATCGAAAAGGATGTGTGTGCACTCTCATGTGCCAGTCCTTAGGGCCTGGGTGCTGTCCCTGAGTGTCTTTGCTCAAGAGTAGTACTGTACTCTTGTGGGTAGGGAAAAGAGTCCCACAGACTTTCTTGCCCAGGCTGACTTCTAACCATAATCCTCAGACCTCAGCCACCTGAATAGTTAGGATTACTGGCATGAGCCACTGGGAACCCACCTTCTAAAAGGATTTTTTTAATTCCTAGCCTTATTGTTTGTAAATGTGTTTCTGTATGTAAGCAATTCTTGTCCACATTGTGAGTAGGATATGCTGGCCAGGTGGTTAAGAGTCTTAAGTGCAGCCGAGAGGATGGGCCTTGAGTTATAAATTTGGGAGATACCAACCTATAGTGTAGCAAAGTATACCTTATGAAGGTATATATATTATTAATTAAACATATGCTATGTACTATACTCTTGACAGTGAAAAATAAAACCTTTCCATGTTTAGATGTAAACCTTTAAATTTTTAATTGTTGAAATATAGATAATTAGGAAAGTTGATAAGCAGACGGCATTACTGGATGCAGATGATCCTGTGTCACAACTCCACAAATGCGCATTTTACCTTAAGGATACAGAAAGAATGTACTTGTGCCTTTCTCAAGAAAGAATAATACAATTTCAGGTATGTTTTGAAGTTACTGGTAAAAATCTAAAATGTAAACTGGATTGGGGTTGTTGCTTATTAATATAGCATTTTATTAATGGTATATTTAAGATCCTCTTTCATTCCCCAGTGCTGCAAATATATTGATTTTTTTTTTAAGTAATGAAATATGCTACAAATCAGTGGACTAGCAGTTTACGGAAATAAGAAATTGTCATGAGCTATTAATTTATGCAAATGTGTGAAGCTATGCTCATCTATTATTCTTTTGGTCCCCGACGTGCCAATGATCCTTTGTCAGGGGAGAACTCAAACTGTGAATGTTCTTAGAAACAAAGTTTTCATCCAATGTCAGGATTCTTAATCTGGAGTACAGAGTAGGAGAATATTTCACAGTTGAACTCTGACGTTAAATGAATCTTCTGAAATTATGAGTATGTATTATGTAAGACAAAGATCTCAGAAGATTCAGAGTTTTAGCCAGCCTTACATGAGGGTCTCCCACGATAGTGACGATGACATGATTCAAATCTAATCCTTACTCAAAGGCTTTAAGGGCACATTTATGACATGGGTAGATAATTTAATAGGCTAGTTACAGTTTCATGCCAAACTCCTATACCAGAGGGATAGCTGTAGACTGAACTAATGGGTATGCTCAGTCTTGGTCCTTAGATTCCTTACTTAGGGGTAGGAGGTTGTCAGTTCAGATTTGGTTTCTTCTTGTGATATGTGCATAAACTATAATAGTTTCCCATAAACTCTTTTGAGTTAATATGCACTTATATCAACTGATCTCATGAATGAAATTATATTGATAATGGTTAAATATTGATTATTTAATGTGTTACTAAACATTTGTCTTATAACACGAACTACTGTGGTCTTCCATATAAATACTCTCGTTTACCTTTTCTTTAGGGATTGTCAAAGCAGCATACTTTACGTTTACAGGTTTATTTATTTATTTGTGCCATCCTTAGGCTTTTTTTTTCTTTTTTAAATTATTAAGCTTTTTTCACAACTAACATTCTACCACTTGATCCACTTCTGGCTTTTCTGGTGGATCATTGGCAATAAGAGTCTAACAGACTTACTGTCCAAGCTGCCTTTGAACCAAGGTCCTCTGAACTCCCATCTCCTAAGTAGCTACAAACACAGGCATGAGCCTATGGTTCCTGGCAAGTCTACAGATTTTTTTTTTTAACTCTTCCTTACTAACTCAAGTCTGTAATGTTATTTGATAAATTTTCTTATACTGTAATGTAATGTGTATAAAACTCTTGTTTCTGAATATTCTGTCTTCTCACAAAGGCCACTCCATGTCCAAAAGAACCAAATAAAGAGATGATAAATGACGGAGCTTCCTGGACAATCATTAGCACAGATAAGGCAGAGTATACATTTTATGAGGGAATGGGGCCAGTTCTAGCCCCAGTCACCCCTGTGCCTGTTGTGGAGAGCCTTCAGGTGAGACCAGGCCCCAACTCCTCAGCCATGACTAACAAATTATTTCATAGTAACTTTGATTGTTCTTTAGTTATTGTGTGATCTGGGTACTTACATTAACATCAACTTGTATGTTACCTTGAATATTTTTAGGCAGCTTTGTGATCATGCATTTAAAAGAAACATTTTGCAAATGTAAACTTATACACACTTTCACAAATAAAAGTTGAATGTGTACTTTAGTAAAAAATGAAAAGTTGTCTTAATGATGTGATTTTTCTGTGAATTGCAGTTGAATGGTGGCGGGGACGTAGCAATGCTTGAACTCACAGGACAAAACTTCACTCCAAACTTACGAGTGTGGTTTGGGGATGTAGAAGCCGAAACAATGTACAGGTACTGGATCAAACCTTTTACGTCATCCAGAGGTTTTGAGGGGTGTGAGTGAGTCCCTGAGCTTCTTCCTGACATCCATTACAATGTATTAAGCAACTTGTTAGAAGACTTTTTTCTGAAAATGTGCTTTGTTTTCTAAAGTGCTTCTAAGTGACTTCTTTTTCTCCTCAGATGTGGAGAGAGTATGCTCTGTGTTGTCCCAGACATTTCTGCATTCCGAGAAGGTTGGAGATGGGTTCGACAGCCAGTCCAGGTTCCAGTAACTTTGGTCCGCAATGATGGAATCATTTATTCCACCAGCCTTACCTTTACCTACACCCCAGAACCAGGGCCGCGGCCCCACTGCAGTGCGGCAGGGGCGATCCTTCGAGCCAACTCAAGCCAAGTGCCGCCTAACGAATCAAACAGCAACAGCGAGGGAAGTTACACAAATGCCAGCACAAACTCAACCAGTGTCACATCGTCTACAGCAACAGTGGTGTCCTAACTACCGTCTTTTTGTTAGGACTTAAACTGACTCAAGTGCGGCAAAAAAAAGTTGACACACAAAAAAGAACAATGTTTTGTGGCTTCTTGGGGAAACTTCATACCAGGTGATAGATGCTATTAAATAAAAAACCCTGTTACCTGCAAGTGCTGATGTGAAACACAGAAGCCACAGTAAAACAAAAACATCAACATGTACAAACTATTGGAAACCAAGTTTTTCAGCTTTTTTCCCCTCACGGTGTTGTTTGGTTGGTTTTTGTTTGGTTTTGTTTAAATGGGCAAGAAATAGATGTGTGGCTGGAATAAAAGTCAAGCAAACTAGAAGACAAAAATCTAACCTAGTTTTTATGGACCAAGGAACTTGTATAAGCTTTAGTAAAAGGTACATTTTCACCATACCTTTTTTATATCACAGTACATAGTACGCCTTGTTACCAAATAGGTTGTTCTCCCCACCCCTTGAGCTTTTGCTCTAAAGTACATTCAGGTTCTGAGCCTGGCCAAGCTTGTTTAATCAAATTACCTACACTTCCAGGTTCTTTTTGGTCTAAGGCTGGAACTTTTTTTTTAAGCTGAAGTCTTGTGACTTTTCATGAATTGAAATGGTTTTGATTTCAGCGAGTCAAATCTTGTAAAGGCCTGCATATTTTTTTTAAGATTATATGAAGTCTGTGCAAAAGCTTTAAAAAAAATGCCTCTGCCTTGCCTGCAATACATGCAATGTATGTTAGTCTCTATTCTCAGACAATGTTTTCTTTTCTTTTCTTTTTTTTTAATGTATTTATAGCAGTAATCCAAGAAGTTCTAACATTTACATGGAATTCAATGTGGCTGTTTAGTCTTTTATGAGTTAATGGCGTGGAACATGTTTTTGAAGTGTTCTCTTCTCCCATACATCAATTCATCTGTGTGTTCCAGGGTTTGTTCAGGTGTCCCCCACCCCTTCCTAATCTTGTACATAACTTGTATTATGTGTAAGTTAAACATTTTATTTTGAACTTGGAATGTTCCCGTGATTTCATTCAACAGGGTGGTTTCTGCCTTGTTAGAGAATGACAAAAAATTATCATGAGAAGTATTTGCTACCAAGTGGTAGCTGGTGCCCTTATGGTGGAATGAGGAATATCTCAGCAAAATGTTTTATTATTGTACTTCAAAAAAAAATAGCCTAAGTAGAGCATCATTGAAATCTTAAAACAGAGATGCTTTTATTAGATGATCAACTCCAATAGCTGGAAGACAGTACCTTAGAAACAGATAGATGTAAGTTTATAAAAATGCAAATGTAACTTATGTTTCTATCTCTTTCTCTGCTTTGTTTTGTTTTGTTCTGTTTTCTCATCCTTAGAACTGAGCATCTCCAGAAATGTCTCCTACTCAGAAAACATTTCTTTTCCTCTCCATTAAGATTTGGCTGCATTCAGGGCTATGTCAGCCTTGCCTGCTCATCTCACCAGTTTCATATTGCTTCTATTCCTGCACTTTGGTTATGCCTTTGTTCAGTTTCTTAAGAAATTACAGCAGACTCCCTGAGCTACATTTAGTAAAGGAGCCACATGTGTAATGTTATAGGATACAATCATCCTTAGAGTAAAAACTACCTCTAGATTGTGGTAAGCTTTTACTGTCCCATAAAACAGGAGCCACAAGTACCTTAATGAATGCAAAACTGTAACTTCGTGCAGCGTTCCCAGTGTCTTTCTGGTGTCTTGGATTGTTTAAAAGTTTCTATTAATAGACTTTTCAAGTCATTTGTGAGGAGCATGTTTTCCTGCTTTGCTCTCTTTATCGCTCATTCTTTTGCCTAGACTGTGCCACTGTAAATATTACTCCTAACATCTTTAAATTGCCTTTCCTTTGTTTTCAAGGGGATTGTCATCAGTAAAACACACGAGGTGGTTAGTTTCTGCGGTTTTTTCTTACTGCACGCCTTTGTAATCACCCCTGGCTACTCGATACAGCCTTTTCATTCTTGTCCAGGCTGTTCTGGTCACTCGCTTCCTCCTTGTCAGGGTATCCTGCCTCTCACACTGTGAGTCCCTTCCAGATCACCAGAACTCATTGTGGCCTTATCTTCCTTTGCGCAAGCTCCTCACTGGCTTTTCCTTACAGACTTGATTGTTTCTCAGTAGTAGTTCTCTGTCCTTACTAATGAATTAGTTCTTTTGTTCAGTGCAAAAATGTTTCCAGTGTTCTCTTGTAGGCCACACATCTCCTCTACTTCCAAAATCTAGAATTTAGCTAAGAAATTATTTTAGCCAATAACAAATGCTTGAAGAACAAATGATTCCTTACCCAGCTTTGTAGTTCCAAATGAATGTTTATTTTCTGGGCTTTATTAAAATGATTTTTTTTTTGCTTTAAAATAAGGTTTATATCGTATGTCGGTTATTTTGTTTCTTCTAATAAGACAATTTAAACAAGACTGTCAACCCATTTTCTGTTTTTGTTTTCTGCAAAGTTCAAGAATGTACTTCCATAGGCATTTCCTCCACTGTTCTCATGCTACAGACTGAAGAATGAAATGGCTTGTCTGTTGTAGCTTGTTAACTGTAGTTCTTTTATCAGCTGCTTTGAAAAAGACAAAATACAAAAAAATGGTCCTTTCAGACTTTGGAATCATTTTCAATGGATGATTGATGGGATCCTGCCCTCCAGGTGTGCTGGGACACTGTCCTCCTGGTGCAGCATTGGTAGATGGCAGGGTGGTGGTGGTGGTGGTTTACCCTCGTAGACTCTTAGAATGGTTAAACTATGGTTAATTTTCTTTCTTTCTTTTTTTTAATCTGTTTTCCAGGTGTATCTTATGCTGTTGCAATTCTATGCAGTTTCTCCCAATAGGCATACGACCCAATAAAGTTGCATTGAATTTATCACATTGGGAAGTAAGCTAAAGACTTTAAATGTAGAATGCCCTTGATATATCAAATGACTTCAGCGTTGAACACTAGTATATTTAACTTGCTGCTGACTTGCTTTAAACTGTGGCAACTAAATACATCCTTACAGAGAGCTAATTAGTGACGTATTTGTTACCCTTTCAGTTCTGTATTTTGTGGTGATGGGGATTGAGCCCAGAGCCTCAAGCATTTTTTTAAAATCTTAAAAAAAATTTTTTTGAGATACAATCTTGCTATGTAGTCCAGGCTAGCCTTGAACTCATAATCCTTATGTCTCCCAAGTGCTGCAATTTCAGGCCTATAACACCATGCCTAACACTGGTTTTGTTTTTAATGAGACTGGTACCACCTGTGCAATCACAGAAAATGTCCAATGCCATTTTGACTAATTAACTAGTCATATTAACCAGAAAGTCCACAGGTAGGGTTGCCTTTTTGAAGCAAAATGCTATTCAATTATTAACTAAGTTAACTTAACCTTATTTTCAAAAGCAGCTGTGTTTCTGATGAGTACTGAACAAATGTGTATAATTTTCTGTGCCAGACTTTTGACTTTGTTTTCAAGCACTGTATTTGGTATGGATGGTTAGAAACAATAATATATTAGGGTTTCTGTTTAACCCTTTCAGGACTGAACTGTATTTCCTTTGTTAATTCTCCCCTGTGTCGTGATAAATGTCTGCCAGCCTTCCGTACTGTGTTGATCCAGATGTAGGTTTATATGCTCATTTTTAGCTTATTTCTCGTACCTTGCAGCATGCTGTACGCATTCAGTCCTTAAGGGGTTTACTTTACAAACTGTGCGCCTGTAAGGTTTATTAGCAATAAGATAGAAAATTGAGCAAGTTTATACCATAATTTTGTAGAAAAAAAGGAATCTGCTCAGTTCCATATTTCATCCATGAAAAACCTGCAATACAGGCAGTTTCAAGGAATAAATAAAAAGGAAATGTAAACCATTGTAAAAGTCTTCTTTTGAGTGTGCCTGATGCATGTATTATCGTCTGATTTCAGAATACTTCATGAAGACAACATTAAATTCATTTCATTTTGTATTACACTCTTGCCTTCTGAATCACATCGTAGTAAAGATTTTGCTGGATTAATTTCCTTTTTGATTCCTCCACCCTCCCACCCCCCACCTCCCCTGGAGCTTCAGGGTCAGACATTTGCCCTGGATGCTGTTCTTCCTCTTTAGCCACGCCTCCAAACCCATTGTTGATGTGTTTGTTGTTGTTTTGCTAGTTCTGGGGCTTGAACTCAGGACCTCGGTACTGTCCCCCCAGCCTCTTTGTGCTCAAGGTTAGCGCTCTACCACTTGAGCCACTTCTGGCTTTTTCTGAGTTTATTGGAGATAAGAGTCTCACAGAGTTTTCTGTCTGGACTGGTTTTGAACCACACTCCTCAGATCCTAGTCTCCTGAGTAGCTAGGATTACAGGTGTGAGCCACTGGCACCTAGCTTATTGTAACTTTTTAATGATTTTTTTTTCTTCCCTGCTAATGGATAATTGAGATTTGTTTCTCAAGGTGCTGTCTGCTAATTCAGAACCATTCAGAGTGAGCTCCACAAAACTGGACATTGCTCTTTAACAGTAGTTTTTTCCATTAAAGGTGGTTATTTGGTCATATGCTCATTGGTATGCTATATACCATATGCGCATTGGGATACTAAGGAGCATATACTGTTTTGTTTTGGTTTTTTTTGGGTCGGTCGTGGAGCCTGAACTCTGGGCCAGAGCACTGTTGCTTAGCTCTTCAGCTCAAGGCTAGTACTCTACCACTTGAGTCACAACTACTTCTAGCTTTTTCTGCTTATGTGGTGCTGAAGAATCAAACCTAGGGCCTCCTGCATGCAAGACAAGCACTCTACCACTGAGCCACCTTCCCAGCCCCAGAGCATATACTGTTTTATGTCTTTTTTTTTAAAGAGTACAGAAGTGGGTACTGATTATACTTTGGATAACAGACAAATCTAAAGCAAGAAGTTAATATGATTTAAAAGTATTCAGTTGAGTTCTTATCTACTCTCTAAGAACATAAGTGAAGTTATGAAGATCTTGTTAAACACATCTTGCTTGCCATAAAAGTACTCATTGTTAAGTAAAACAATTTAGTTGCCATTTGAGTTGTGAGGCTTCTAAAGGTTTAGTTTGTCAGGGGGTAGTTAATATTTCCTAATGTAGAATAATAAGCTTGTTTTGCTTGCTATAGTGATCTCTTAGGCAATTTTACCAAAGGAACATTAAATATATTGTCCCTTTTTCTTATTGATCCCTGCAGCATCAAAAGCCATCTGTTTCCACATCTAGTAAAGTGAGCAGTCACTTTACTACAAAGGTACACTAAAAAGGAAACACTTGATATATATATATATATATATTTTTTTTTTTTTTTTTTTTAAGCAGCAGACAATAACAGACAGCTGGTAGCCTCTGTATGTAAAATAAAAATAATTGATTCCTGTGGATGTAGGTTCAACCCTCGTACGTGAGGCCAGGAGAGAGCATTGAGACAGTCAGCACCTATAGGACTGGACAGTTGTGTATGCACTTCTTGGATCCAGGTGAGATTCTATGCCTGGCACAAAGCTAAAGAACTTAATACTGCCATGTTCTTATATGTGGAAATCATGACTAGTCTTGGTTTATAGAAAATGAGGGTAAATATTTCTCTGATTACAGGGAAAGGAGGTTTTAAAGGAAAGACACGTTGATACTGGATGTGAATGGGTGGTTCCTTGGAGTTTGCAGAGCAATTTGCTTTGGGGCGCTTGAAATTCCGTCTTGTGAGCCTTTGTTGTGAAACAGTGGGAGGTATAGGTGCTCCTTCGTATCTTTTTGGTGTAATGAATGTGGTCTTTTTACGCGCTCCCCACCCCCACCCCCCAGCCCTTCACTGCCCTGCTCAATCAGCACTGGAGGGTAGCAGGCCCAATCGTGTGCTCCTTTATCTGTTGACATCATTTCTTCTGTTGCTAGCAGAGCAGGGCCATGGAGTCCCAACCCACTCCACCTAGAAACACTAACTTCTCTCATAAAAGGGTAAGGATGGCCAGGCACTGATGGTTTATGCCTATAATTCTGGCTAGTCAGGAGGCTGAGAGCTGAGGATTGAGGTTTGAAGCCAGTCCAGGCAACAAAGTCTATGAGACTCTTTAATCTCCAATTAACCACCAGGAAACTGGAAGGGAGTTGTGTGGCTCAAAGTGGTACAGCACGAGTTAGCCCTGAGTGGGGGGAAAAAAAGCTCAAGGGCAGCACCCAGGCCCTGAGTTCAAGCCCCACAGCTGACTGAAAAAAAAATAAGGATGTGACTAGTTAATCTGTATGGTAGCCTTGTGAGCTGTCAGTATTTCTTTTATTAGAACTTTCTCTGTGCAAGGCTACTGTCTTGTGATCTCTCAAGATTTCTCCAACCTTCTGCAATGAATTTCTCCATATGGTAGTCAGTTATTTAGATAAGATCATGAAAGGTTTTGGAAAAAATCATTTTGGTTTGGATGAAAGGAACTAATGTACAGTTGGTCAGCCAGCATGACAACTAGGGTTGTCCTCAGCAGCCCTGAGCCAGGAGCTGGGAATATGCTGGTAAGAAATGTGAGTGCCGTGGCCTTTGAGGAGAACTTAATCTAAAAGGTGGATGGAATGTGCAGCCGTTAACTAGGAAGCATGAATATCCATTCCCAGCATTTATCCCCTACTGCCAAGAGGTAAGAATTGGTCAAGGTGCAACTAGCTGGGTTTGAATTTAGGTCCTTGCCCTTGCTAAGCAGGTGTTCTACTGCTGGTAGAGCCATCTCGCTGGTCCTTTTGTTTGTAGTTTGTTTTTCAGATTGGATCTCATGGTTTTCCTAGAGTACCCTTGGATGGATTATAGGTGTGCACTCCTATGGCACAAAATCTTCAGTGATTAGCTTAACTAGACTGTAACCATTTTGGAAAATTTCCTTGGTTCTAAGTTCTTTGGTTGGTTATCATAAAATGGCATAAACTAAGTAGCAAAAGCAACAGAAAAATTGTTCAGTTATGGAGGTTAAAAATTCAAGATTCAGATGTCCACATGGTTGGGTCCTGAGGAAGGGTGTCTTCCTATGTAGATAGCCACCATCTTACTGGTCTCTCACATGCCACAAAGAGCAACAGTGTTTTCTCACGAGAGCTTATTCAGCCTTACTTCCTACTGTCTACCTTATGCCAACAGATTTACATGAAGTATTTCTCATCCCTCTTGATCCTATGAGCCAATACACTAGGCCCTTGCGGAAAAGACGGTCCTGAGGCGCATGCTCACAACTCTATCCCTCTCCTCTCAGCTTCTCCAGAAATGCCCTTATGCCAGAACTTCTGAGAGCTCCATTCACTCGGTCACCACCACGGTAGCTGGTAGATGGGATCATTGAGTGACTTCCTGTCCAGTCTTGCTGACCAGTGGGCAAGGAACAAGCTTGGGAAATGGGATTAGCTTGGTTTTGACATGTGAGTTTGACATCAGAAAATTTCCATACAAGGCTCTGCTGTCTTCCAGTGTGGAGCGTTCCCAATAGTAGTAAGATTCCCGGCCTGTGGCTCCTACCTTGTATCTGGCAATTGGACCACCAATCCCTGCTCACATGGGGCTGTCCTAGCATGGTGAGACAGGCAACAAACTATGAAGCTGACTCAGGTGCAGACAGC